AAAGCATATATATATATATATATATATATATATAATTTTATTATTATTTATTAGCTTTAATTATTCATTTTATTTGAATAAAGTTTTATTATTTTTATATTATTATTTTTTTATCATGTGTATTAATATTTTACCATGTCATCTCATAACAGTGCATTAACAGCACACGTAATGAGATTTTTAACGGAAGGACCAAATCGGGGTCAAAATGGTAAACAGTATGGACCAAATCAAGAATTTTTTTAGTTTAAGAACCAAATGAAAGGTTTGTATAATAGTTCAGGGACCAAAATGAAATTTTAACCTTAATAATATAAAAGCAAAGAATGGGAAATGGCAGACACAAAAGCAAACAATTGGAGAGAGCGGGAAAAACATAAAGAAATATATGAATAATTAATTTCAGCGTACAGCCCTTACCGTTACCGTCAAAGTCTTAAATAAGGTCAACAGTGAAATAGATTTTCGTTAAAATACAATTTCTCCGTTTCACTTAAATGGCGTGTTTTATGTGTAATGATGTGTTATATTTTTATTAAATGGGGATAGCACTGACGTACTCTCTCTGTGAATCTGTGATATTCTAGAATTTATCGTGACAGACAGCAATTGCCCTCGATAACAGTGAGTGCAATTAACACTTTAAAAATGATTAGTTGAGGATAAGTATGGAATTTTAATAAAAAATATTATGCGCTTTAAATTAGCCAAATAAATATGGTATACTTAGAATTATTTTAGATAATATAATTTAAATTAAATAGGATGTTTTTTTTTTTAATATTAGAATTTTTTATTTAATAATTTAGTAAATGAAAATTTTTAAATAAAAACTTTAAAAATATATTAAATTATATAATACTTATTATTGAAAGAAATGGTATTTTAATATTAATATCCTCTTTTATCTAACTACATTCTTGTTAAATTGCCAAGCATCTCCCTAATTTGAAAAAACCTTATTATGAATTATACAGAATGAATAGACATTTCACTTTATAATCTCACTTAACATCTCCTATCTATTATATTCCCTTAATTTCATTTAAAATTTTATTAATCATATTTATGAAACTACTATATTTATAAATTAGTATATTGAAACCATTATATTTATAAAATTATTTAATTTCATTTAATAGTTTAATTAAGTTTTTTTATGAATTTAGTTAAATTCATCTATTTAATTTATAAAATATTCATTCTTCCTTAATTAATATATAGACTTGTATTGTATGAAAAAGATGCTATAACTAAAATTGAAGAGTGAATGAAAGAATAAAAAGCATATTTTTCTCCCTTCTTATCTCATTCTCTTTATTTTTACACACATTCTTACTTGATCATACTCAAGAATTACTTATTTTATAACAAAAAATTATTTATTTTAAAAATAAATTCTTCAATTCTAAATTTAAAATTTTATTAAATAAAAAATTTAAATTATCATTTATAATAATTTTTAAATAAATTTTTAGAAAATTCAAGTATAAAATTTTCTCAAAGTTAATTAGATGTTACTTTAAAAATTAATTTTTAAATTTCTCTCCACCATTTTTAAATATATAAATAAAAGTTTACTTCTAAAAAAATTATTGTTAAAATTTTACCAATCACCTTCAATACCCATAGATGCCTCTTAATTATTATTGACTTCTTTATTGACTTGCCTACATTTGAAAATTGTTTAGACTCCTTAGCTACGTCAATTATAAGAAAGAGTTAGGTTTCCCGTCAAGGACGCAGGTATGCCATCTACTTCTTCAATCTTGATATCCTCTTATGTTCTTTGTCCAGAGTTCACATGTGCATTTACATATATTCTACGTAAGTATAGCAGGGACTAAACATATCTTGCGCTCAAAGGACGGGGTCATAGCCAAATCATTCTTGCTAAAGTTCGTCTCTGTTTAACAGCTGCTAGCTGGTGGCATGAGTTCCTGAACATCATCTAACGAAGTTTGTAAGTATGGTTGGTTTTTTTTTTTTATGAATAGTTTGTAAGTACGGTTAATTATATAGTTTTGGTCCTATTGCTAGAGTACCTTTTTTTTTATTTATTTTTAAACTTCATATGGTATATACAAATTCATACTTGGTGAAGCTCCGATCTAAGAAGACAGGTGGTGCTTTTTCATCTGTTCGTGTGGGACACATGGTATGAAGGTAAGAGGCTTCTCTTCCCCTTGCATGGCTGATTTTTCTTTCCTATTAGGTTTAAGTTTTTTTGCTTATTAGGTGATTTAAGGTTTTTAGTTTTTATAAATTTTACAACTTTAAATAAAAATATTGTTTAATAATTTATTTTTTAATCTTAAATCCCTTCTCTCCTCTCCTCTCCTCTCCTCGATCTTTATCATTTAGATAAGTTAAAATAATTAAAATAATTAAAAGCAAAAAATAAAGTAGAGGGTTTTTGTCTCCCTTGCATTCTCTAATTTTTTGGTCACGAAATTAAGTAATTGTCTCTCCTCTACTCAAATCAAATATACCCATACCCTTAGTTGTTAATGTAGAAATTCGTCTTAAATGAAATTTAATTGCATATCTTTCAAAAGTTTGAGAACTATATTGTAACAAAATTGTTAAAATTAGGGACTGAATTGATTTAATCTGAAGTTTGAGGTTCAAATTTGAGGTTCAAAGGACACAAGAACTGAACGCAAGGGACAAGCGTCATTTTACCATTAAAATTTGAAGAATTCTAACGGGTCGATGCGTTGCGATGTCCCATCAATGTAGAGATACT